TATTATTTTGTGTTTTTATTTTGATACTATTATATTTTTAAAATATTATATTGAAAATGCAAGAATTCCAAATAAATCCAAGTTTCAATACCAGAGGAGTTACGAGAACGTGGTCGGCATTTTGGGGATTGGGGTTTTGGAGATTTAGGGTAGCGCTAGGGGAAGGGCCTCTGGTAACCTCACTCACACGGCGAAACACAACGTTGTGGTTGTTTTACGCCGGTTTCCTGTAAGACTGTGGTACCACTCCGGTCGAGCCGACCTATTCGTGCCCTAGCTTTGCTCTTTTTAACCGACTTCATTATATATACTATGTGTACCACAAGGAGATTTTAATTAATTAACACACAGTGTTGTTGGGTCCACTTTCGTTTGCCATACACAATACATAATTAATTCACGATTGTTTGACATAATTAAAATTTACATAAATATTTGATTTTGTAATATTAATTGAAAATGTGATTCTATTTTAATAGTTATTTAACATCATCAAGTACCTATGTGTATTTAAATAGCTACCTTCAGATAATGTAGTATGATTTTTTTAATAGTAATATCAATAAATTTATTAAACTTATCAATCATCAATAAATTTAGTAGATATGTTTTGAATACATTCGGACTACAATATGTAAAAAAGCTATGATTAGGTACAAATAAATAAAATATTATGTAGTAATTGTGACTTTCACTGCAGTATTACGCGATCCTCAGACTCTTTTTGACTAAAAACCACTCCACTCTTTCTTCTGCTCCAGGCCGGGTACTTGGTTAGGGTTGCCAACTATACTATTAAAAATTACCTATTTTCATTACCCTGCTCAGCGCCCAACTGACGTCTGATATTAGGTACATCCAAGACAGCCTCAAGCTGGATTCTGATATTAGATCCAAGACAGCCTTAAGCTGGTATCTAATATTAACTCAAGACAACCTTAACTCGGTGTCTGATAGTCATTCAAGACAACCTCTAACCGGGCGTCTGATAATGACTCAAGACAACCTGCATCTGGTAGTGATTATGATTATGGTAGTGGTAGTGACATAGTGATTTCTTAAGAAAAAAGAAACACCCAATCATAACAAAAAAAGAAAACAAAAACAACGTGCTATCTACCAGTTATTGAGTCAGTCTTAGAGTCGTTGTCATCAATGGCACTTGTATTCCCAGACATTCGTCATTCCCAGACATTCTATCGTGTGCATATTTGTAAGTGCGATTTGAGTTTAGTGACTTCAGAATGTAGCCATTTGCCTCAAGGACTGCAGTGACTTTAAAAGGACCTTTGTGCTTCGGGTCAAGTTTAGTCTGATTTCGCTCTTCATTTTGCAGATGAACAAAATCCCCAACCACGAATGGTTTTAGTTTTCGCCTTAGTACTATCGAAATGTACCTTATCATATTTAGCAGCTTGTTCCACGTTTTGTACTGCTTCAACCCTTGCTTGATCAATGTCAACTTAAGGCTCAACGTCATCAGCCAACATTATTTCTAGTGGAAGGGCAACCTCACCTATTAAAAGCTTTCAACGGATTAGCCTTCGTCACACGGTTCTCACACATTCACCAGATCCCGAAGAGCGTTAATGATTGCGTGTTGAAAAACCGATGGAGGATTTCCGAGGCCAAGCGGCATCGATAGATACTCGTATTGGCCTTCAGGAGTCACAAAGCCTGTCCGCTCGATCGATTCCTCTGCAATAGGTCCAAAACCGAAAAATACTGACCTTCTTGCAGCCTTGCGATTTGGTCGGATATCAACGGCAACAGGAATCTGTCGGGCACAGTGTTGTCATTTAACTCACGATATCCACGCATATCCTGTCGGACTTGTCCTTCTTTTTGACCAGGAGGATGGGGCTGGCAAATGGCGATGAACTAGGGCGAATTACGTTTGCATCAAGCAGCTCCTGTACTTTACCTCGAACTACCTGCCGCTTCTGGGGACTTAGCCGATAGGGGCGTATGTTGACAGTCTTATGAGTCTTAGGATTGATGTTGATAGTCAATGTATCTGCATTAGTTCAGCATCAGCGCGTCGCCTTGGAACACCTTTCGCAAGAGACTCTACAAAAGAGTTCAGGATATCAATTAACCGACCTTTCCCCGGCAGCAACACATGAGTATCCACACTATCAAAGTCAATTCCCTTACCAGACTGAACCTCGCATGATTCAATAACGCGAACATTCACAAAAACCAGCTTTTTTCATAATTTCATGTCGCAAACAATAGACAGGGAGGACATGTAGCGGACAAGCGCTTTTCCACTATATGCCTAGATCAGAAAAATAAATGGAAATGTTATGGATATCGAGCCACTCAACCTAAATCCGACAATAGCAGTAGGCGTTGATGACCGATTTGTATAAGGCTCACTGACACCATAGACACTGCGATGAACTCTTCGCCTGGCAATGAATACATTACTCAAAGGATAAATTATCTGTTCATAACGGGCCTACACGCTAGGTACTGGCTGTTATCTTGTAAAGTCCCATTCTGATTTTAAACTAGTAAATCTGTTCTCAGTTAATTCAGTGAGCTATTTTCAAGATATTCTTAAATAAGAGACGAGAGCTTATTTCCACAAAAAAATAATGAACAGATATGATTCATTATATAAGCCATTACATTTTTTTTTGTGGAATAGAAGGCAAACTACCACATGGACACCTGATGGTAAGTGATTAGAACCGCCCATGGACTTTGCAACAGCATTGTGGCATAAAAAAATTGATTTTCGAAAATTAATTATACATTTATTTATGAGCTATTTTCTCGGGTTGAGATTGCGTTTACAAACGGATAATTTCACATACACATCTCATCTACAGGTGGAACATTAATTTGGGACCATACAAAGAATAAATGCTTCTATGCAATAGCAAATTCCGTAACACGTTGCACAGCAACCGTTCGCTCAGTAAATGCGCACACTGTGTATTTCAACCCCAGAAACTCAGTAAAACGGTAATTTAAGCTAATGTTGGTTCTGACCTTTTACAACCAGGCCTTTGTGCGCCGGGCAAGAAAGAACGGGTTGGTTTAAAGTCAGTAAGAGTCTGAAACTCCCTCACGTCACGTAGTTTTTATCAACGTGTTGCAGGTGCACTCCGTCAAGGTAAGGCAACGCCTCACAATTGTGTTGCCAACCATAGAGGGAACTGCTTAATCTAGTATCACTTCTAGGACACAACGGCCGCAAACATCATGATCCAGATCAACTAAAAGACATCCACAGAAGAACAAAATTTACTCAACGTGAGCAGCTTAGCAATAATCCGACACTTGTATACTGATGGTAAGCAATCTGCGTAGCCTATTGCCGATCATAATACCAAATGGCCCACCCCTTTGTGGGTTATAAGGGATTGAAGATGGCGAAAGGATTGGGCCTCCAGTAATCTCACTCACACGGCGAAACGTAACAACTCACTATGTAAGTGTTGTTACACGCCAGTCTTCTAAGAAGCCATGGTATTACTCCGGTCGAGCCGACCCAGCCCTGATAAAGTATGGTTCTTCCATACTTGGACTGCCTTAATTTCAATTAGACTATCTTTTATAGACACTTTTGAACGTCGAACAAAGTCAGTCCTCAAGTGAAACTTGTGGCGACTGTACATTATGCAGACTGTACAGCGCTATCACTTATTTAATACAATATGTTGTTTAATACTCCTAGCGCCATCTATTAGAGCGCTGGAACAAGTGAGAGAGTGAGTGTTCCTTCCAATTATTGATTGTTATCTAGTTCTCTCATTCAATCTCTATTTAAATATTCATTCTCTGGAGTACTCACTCACTCTCCCATTCGCTCCTGGCTTTCCTATTGTTAAAATGTACTCTGTGCTCCTGGCCCGCTCTACTGTGAGGTTCGACTTCCATGTTCTTCGACCAAGTTTTGTTAATTTGTTATATTAAATATTGTGCCTAGCAACTGTATTAAAGAATAAAGTGTAAGGTATATTGTGTAACCATAACCGTGGAAATTAATATACATATAGAACGAGAAATTCTCTCTTATTTCTCCGCCACCATCGGTTCCAATACCTACAACTGGTGACGCCCGTCTAAGAACACAGACGTCCTTCGTTGCGAGCGAGCCTACAGTTTCGACGACGGCATTGGCCCTAACATAAATATTTGTGGCCGGCCGATTTCTGCAGCCCGGTGACTCGAGTCACGCAGCATCGTCGAGGAGTTGGTGCAGGGGCGCATACTACCGCGTGCCTGGCTACGCGTCGAGCTCCTTGCAGTTCCACCCTACGCCCAGCCCCCCGTGTCTCCGGGAGATCGAAGTGCAGTGTATATAGCTTGTGTACAGAAAGTTGTAAAATTTCAGTAAAGAAAATTATCCGCCATTTTGGACGTTTCGCGGGAAAATTTTTTTTTCGCATTGACGCTAGCGCCATAACGATTCATGCATGAACTATTGATAGTACTGTCATACTCGTTCGTTCCTGTCACTTTCGTCGTTCGCGCCAATGACTTATCGATTAATGTTCGATCAATTATCAACAGTGACTTGTTTTTGCGCATGTGATTGTGTTAGTTTTTAAATTTAGGTTGCATTTTCTCGTTCACGTTAGTTATGTAAAGAAGTGTTTGGGTATGTACAAAACTTTTATATTTCTTTAAAGCATTTTTTTTTTGGTTTGTGTTGTCGTATTGACCGTTTAAACCCCCACTGATTTTGATTCAAAATCACATTAATTATTCATTAAAACACCCAGTTGTGTATAAATTTTGTAAATACTTTAATTTAAACTAACTTGTACATATATTTTTGCTATAGTTTGTAATTAATTTGTGTAAAAATACATAGGTTATAGGTTAAACTAATTGCTATTTACATTGTGTTTTTGTGTGATAATAACATTGCATCTTGGGTCCTTGTGGTCGGAGGGTCATCCTTATTATAATTTATTACTTCTGATTTTGTGTTGTTTTTGCATGTTTTGTAAAGAGTGTACATATTAACTGTAAACAAAATGGAGGAATTGCAGGCTAAATTTGCTGAATTGCAGCAGCAGAACACTGTTTTGCAATCACAATTAACTGCACTGCTTTCAAAAATTAACAACCAGAAGGCAGAATCTGTGCATGTGGTGGATAGTGTCCCTGAGGTTTCAGCAGTTTCACCCAAACTGCCACCATTCTGGGTGGACCGTCCTAACCATTGGTTTAGGCGAGTTGAGGCCCAATTTAACCTGGCTGGTATTAAGAGCGAACAAACAAAATTTGATTATATAATTGCAAATCTTGACAGCCGTCTGATAGCCGAAGTCGAGGACATTGTCTCGAACCCTCCGGACCAGGGCCAGTACGAAAAGTTGAAGGCTGAACTTACACGCCGACTCTCCATGTCAGAATGTCAGCGGGTCAGGCAACTGATCAGCGAGGAAGAATTAAATGGGAGAAAGCCGTCGCAATTCCTACGCCATTTACGTTCCCTAGCAGGAGACGACTTAAAAGATGATGGCATAATTAAGGAGTTGTGGATGCGACGGCTACCTCAGTTTCTCCAGGCTATCCTTACTGCTCAATCTGACCTGTGCTTGGACAAACTGGCACACCTTGCAGATAGTATACTTGAAGTTAGTCCAGGGACTATTACAACTAATGCTGTTTTCGCTTCTACCTCAAATTCTCCAACATCGAAGAACGACCTGACCACCCGAGTTGAGGAGCTCACCAAGCAGGTTGCAGCTCTCTGGAGGTCACGATTTTCAGCACAGCGATCGCGGTCTCCATCAGCTAACACAAATAAGGTATGTTGGTACCATAAAAAATATGACACAAAAGCCTTGAAGTGTATAAAGCCTTGTAGCTGGGCGGGAAAAGCGACAGACAGTCAGTAGCGGCGACGACCGACTGTCACATAGGTAGCCCTAGTCGTCGATTATTCATTACGGAAGTCAAATCCAAACGACGTTTTTTAATTGATACTGGCTCGGACTTATCCTGCTACCCAATCAGCTGGTTACAGCGGCGACCACAGGCTACCAATTTTTCTTTGAGTGCTGCTAATGGCAGTAACATTAAGACATATGGCCTTATTTCCCTTACTCTCAATTTAGGGCTACGGAGAGATTTTAAATGGAACTTTGTGGTAGCCGATGTAACTACAGCCATATTAGGGTCAGACTTTTTAGCCCATTACAACCTGCTACCAGACTGTGGAGGCAAGCGTCTATTGGATAAGACAACAGGCCTGTCTTCCAGTGCTAAAGCAGCAGCACAGGACAGTCAATTTAGTGTCCGTTTAATCAACAACAAATCTATACTTGCAGAATACCCAGATTTAATACGGCCACCGGGTATGCACCGTGAGATCAAGCACCACACAGTCCACCATATAGAGACGACGCCTGGTCCTCCGGTGTGCTGCCGCCCGCGCCGCCTGGGTCCGCAGAAACTTGCGGCTGCAAAGCGGGAGTTTGAAGAGATGGTGAGGTGTGGTACGGCAAGACCTTCAACTAGCGCCTGGTCTTCGCCCTTGCATTTGGCCTTGAAACGTGATGCGACATGGCGTCCCTGCGGTGACTACCGCGCATTAAACGCGCGTACTGTACCGGATCGGTACCCCGTGCGTCATATTGGGGATTTCAACCAGTTCATTTCTGGTTCGACCGTGTTTAGCACCATTGATTTGGTGAAGGCATTTCAACAGATACCTGTCGCTAAAAACGACATCTGTAAAACGGCCATCATTACTCCTTTCGGACTCTTTGAGTTCCCCTTTATGACGTTCGGGCTACGCAATGCTGGACAAACTTTCCAGCGCTTTATAGATGAAGTCGTGCAGGGACTCCATTTCGTATACGCATACATAGATGACATTTTGGTGTTTTCCCGTAATGCTGAAGAGCATGAAGAACACCTTCGCATTTTATTCAAACGCTTGCAGCAGTATGGCGTTGTTGTGAATGCATCGAAATGTCATTTATTTCAATCCGAAATCACGTTTCTCGGTTATACCATCAATGCAGCAGGCACTCGCCCACCTACTGAGCGTATAACCGCTCTGTCAGAATTTCCGCTTCCCAAGACCATTCAAGGTGTTCGGAGATTCTTGGGAATGGTGAATTACTACCGCCGATTTTTGCCTCGAGCAGCAAAACTGCAAGCTCCTCTTGTTACTGCTGTCGCAGACACGAAAGGCAAAGGTGCACAACCATTCCCATGGACCCCTGAACTCGTGAATGGTTTTGAAGAATGCAAGAGAAGCTTGTCCGATGCCACCTTGTTAGCACATCCTATCGGGGATGCTCCTCTCGGCTTATATACCGACGCAAGTAGCACCCATGTTGGATCGTGTCTGCAGCAGCTGATTAATGGCAATTGGCAGCCGATTGCTTTCTTTAGTAAGAAACTTACCAAAAAGCAATCAGAATGGCCAGCCTATTATAGGGAATTGCTTGCTGTCTATGAAAGTGTGCAGCATTTCCGTCACATATTGGAGTCGCAAAACGTGACTATCTACACAGATCACAAACCCTTGCTGTACGCTTTCATACAGCGACGCGAAAAACTACCACCCTCCCAACTCAATCAGCTCTCATTTATATCCCAGTATACGACTGACATTCGGCACATCAGCGGCGTCGACAACGTCGTCGCTGACACAATGTCACGTGTCGAGTCTATTTCACTGCAAGATGACTACGCGGCACTGTCACAATCTCAACAGAGTGACGAAGAGTTGGCAAAGGCACGTAACAACTCTTCCCTTAAACTGGAAGATGTACCGATCCCTGGTACTGGTCTATTTATCGTCTGTGATACTTCCACAGGCCGACCACGGCCGTACCTAACCCCGCGCTTTCGACGGCCGACTTTTGAGCGCTTACACGGTCTAAGCCACCCAGGTGCGCGCGCAACAGCGCGATTGGTAGCTGACCGGTACGTTTGGCCCTCTATTAAGAAGGACTGTCGAGCGTGGGCGCGTTTGTGCTTGCCTTGCCAGCGTGCTAAAATTTCTCGTCACGTCAGCGCTCCCCTCCGTCAGTTTTCACCACCCTCGGCACGGTTCCGCCATGTGCATATAGACATTATTGGACCCCTACCTGCGTCCAACGGGTACAACTATTGTCTGACTGCAATTGACAGATTCACCCGTTGGCCCGAGGCGTGGCCATTGACATCTATAACGGCTGAGGAAGTCGCTGGCAAGCTAGTAAACGGCTGGATTTCACGATTCGGTGTGCCAAACTTCATCACCACTGATCAGGGGCGGCAGTTCGAATCATCGTTGTTTCAGCGCCTCATGAATACATGCGGCATTCAACGGATTCGAACAACGAGCTATCACCCCTGTGCCAATGGCATGGTAGAGAGATTACACCGGCAGCTTAAAGCGGCACTAATGTGCCACCATGACACTTGGTCAAAAGCATTGCCGTTAGTTCTCCTTGGTATGCGGACTGCATACAAAGAGGACTGCAACTCGTCAGCCGCTGAATTGGTGTACGGCGAAACTCTTCGCCTACCTGGCGAGCTCATCGTACCCCCAAGCAGCCCAAGCTACATCGATGTTACCGATTTCGTGGATCAACTGAAGAGCAGAATGCAGGCACTCCGTCCTGTCCCTGCCGCACACCACGCGAAGCCGACGACCTTCGTCTTCAAAGACCTGGCGACAGCTACGCATGTGTTCCTGAGGGACGATACAGTGCGGAAGTCCTTACAACCTCCATATTCTGGGCCACACCGCGTTCTGGACAGGAGGGACAAGAATATGACCTTGGATGTTGGTGGAAGACATGTAACAGTCAGCATCGATCGGGTGAAACCTGCACATATCGAAGCTGACTCCACTGAACTTCCACAGAGTAGCACTGATTTGGTTCCGCTGAACCCATCCAGTGTTGCTCTGCCCACAACTGTCTCACCGTCCACAGCTCGCCCAGCATCCACTGATCCTAAAGCTCCACCTATACCTGCAACTCCTCCCTATACAACACGCTCTGGTCGCAGAGTGAGATTTGCTAAGCCATTTGATTTGTAAATATTATACTCTATTGCGAATATTTTTTCTTGTGTGAATGTTCTATTCTTCTTTTGTAACTTACCAAATACTAATCTTTTTTTGTAACTTACCAAATATTATTCTTCCTTTGTAACTTACCAAATATTAATCTTCTTTTGTAACTTAAAATATTTTTTCTTGTGTAAATGTTCTATTGTTCTTTTGTAAACATTGTTTATTTCTGTTTATTGTAAATAGTTTTTTTTTTTTTTTTTTTAGGAATGGCTTATTTTTCTCCGTAGGGGGGTGATGTGGCGACTGTACATTATGCAGACTGTACAGCGCTATCACTTATTTAATACAATATGTTGTTTAATACTCCTAGCGCCATCTATTAGAGCGCTGGAACAAGTGAGAGAGTGAGTGTTCCTTCCAATTATTGATTGTTATCTAGTTCTCTCATTCAATCTCTATTTAAATATTCATTCTCTGGAGTACTCACTCACTCTCCCATTCGCTCCTGGCCCGCTCTACTGTGAGGTTCGACTTCCATGTTCTTCGACCAAGTTTTGTTAATTTGTTATATTAAATATTGTGCCTAGCAACTGTATTAAAGAATAAAGTGTAAGGTATATTGTGTAACCATAACCGTGGAAATTAATATACATATAGAACGAGAAATTCTCTCTTATTTCTCCGCCACCATCGGTTCCAATACCTACAAACTAAAGTATAGATTCTGATGGACAAGACCGAATCAGAAACTCCATTTTCAATCAGTTTTACAAACCAAATATTTGGCTTATAGATACTTTATCGAACCCGGTTCCCGAGGAGTGGGCAGCAGCATTCCATGCATAGATGACCTAACTGCCCGCAAAAAGCACACAGCCCCCAGTCCTTGTTAGTTACGCTATTCCTGATCTAGGCAGCGGATTAGTTACCGAAGGAGCAGGGGTGCTAAGAATCCCAGGCAGAGGAACCGCTACCACCCTCAACAAACTTTAGCCCTGGCAACACACAACATCCACACACTGAGGACCGTTGAAAGGAATTTTGAGCTGGAGGGAGAATAGAGCAAAATGTGTTGGTAGGTACATCTTGGAACTATCCGAAATCCGAAGAAACGGCCAGGATACGATCGGCCTGGAACCGACAACATGCTCTTCTTCCGGAAAGGAGTGGAGTGTCAGATTTCTCGTCCAAGACCCTCGTCAACAATGTGAGTTGACAGTCAGTCGAGCAGGGTAGCGTACCTTATACTCAGATTATCAAAAATCTTTATTCACTGAAGGTCAGACCGAGAATGGTAACATCATTTCGTTGAAATCATAGATTCTGGGAAAGCTCGAGGGCTTTTACGAACCAGTCGTACACCTCAACACGACAACCCATTGTCAGTCCAGCTCGGGACCCAAAAGCTAAGCTGACACTATATACACTGAGGATATTCCAGACATCACGTACTCATCACTGTACGAGATTCGTACAGGTTTATGTCTGGATATCCTTTTATCAGGAGGGCTCTCAAGCAGCTCAAAAACAATAAGGCATCGGGCGATCACGGAGTTACAACAGAACTTCTTCGAGCGGGTGGAAAGCCGATCGGCGTGCTGAAAGGTTTGTATAGAAACACCACCATGCACATCCGACTCCAGGAAGACAGCACAAAACCAATCCAACTGTAGAAAGGTTGAAGTAGGGAGACGTAACTTCTCCGAAACTTCACGAACGTATTGGAGGACGTTTTCAAGCTCTTGAATTACGGCAGATATGGCATCCGATGATAAAAATGCATCGATGACAAACATGGACAAGCCGAAAATCATGTCAAATGTCCATGTTGCACCTGTACCGGTCATCGTTGGGGACGACATCCTTGAAGTTGTAGACCTCTACACATACCCTGGTCAGATCATTTATCTTGGAAGGTCCAGTTTCGAGAAACAGGTCGCCCGAAAAATCCAACTCGGATGGGCGGCGTTCGTAGTTACGCGATGTCTTCTCATCGGAAATCCCGCAGTCTGAAGACCGGGATGTTTAATCCGAGTGTGTTGCCGGTGATGACGTACTGAGACGAGGTCCCTAACTTCTGGCCTAGAATCGCTCAGCGCACGATATAAAGGGCTATGCTCGGGGTCTCTTTGCGCGACTAAATCCGAAATGTGGCAATTCGCCAAAGAACCTTAGTTACCGATATAGCTCGTAAAATCTGCAGGCTAAAGTGGCAACTGGCAGGACACGTCGCTCCAAGGACGGACGGCCGATCGGTCCGAAACACCTGCACCAATCGAGCAGATGCTGATTTTGGAGATTTAGTGATTGGGGAAAAAATAGGATTCCAGTTACCTCAGTCACACAGCGAAACACAACGTTGTGGTTGTTTCACGCCGGGTTTTTGTGAGACAATGGTATCAGTCCGGTCGAGCCGACCTATTCGTACCGAAGCATAGATCGACACTTATATTTTTAAGTTAGAAGTAAAAAATAAAAAATCTAAGTATCTATGTGTGTATTATTTTATTGATTCATATAAATTTGCCTCAGATCAAGCATTTGGAAATTGAAATTTAACAATAAAACCCCATAGAATACAAGTTAATACTATTACGCAGGTTAGGTGCAGGCTGTAACACATTTACTATTAAAAATAACTTCAGTAGACTAAATTCCAAATAATATACATCATGTATATAAATACACAGGTAACCACACTCGCCCTGCAGAATGCATGTAAAATAATCACATTTCAAAGACAATTACTATACTGGTGGACAATGATATTATGAATTGTTATCAATAAAAAAAGCTTATTTTTAAACATTCACAACAATAGTTCTGATTTAAGTGACCTTATTTCATTACCCATCAGTACATATGTCACAGCCGATTAGCGTTTGGCTAAAACAATAATATAAAACGAATTACATGTCACACTCTGCCAAAATCAAATAAATAGCAGTGATTAAGTATTACATAAGGGCAGAGCAATTAATAAAAACACTGAAGCCAGGTATCTTTGTACAGATAAGTCATTAAGTAGGCGAGGCATGCTCGTAACATTGGACAAAAGGAATATAAATAATGCAATCAAAAACTGTTAAGAAGACATCCGTGTCGCTACCTATGTAAGCCGAAACATTCACTATTACACCTAGTTACCACCGTGACGCAGTACTCAAGTTTCATTACATTACATTTGGTCGCTTACCACACGACACGACAAACACGCGAACCGCGTTCCTCTATTCGGTTTAAAATGTATCCATCATTCACTTACAACACAAGTGAGCTTCATAGCACGTCACAGTTGTTAGAGAATCGGTCTTACCATCTATTTAATCTAAATAGTTAGGTACTTCTGATATTATGCATATTCATCTAGGATTGAATAACATGTGCAAATACAATTTAAATGATCATGTTCAGTAAGGAAATACTTACAAATGATATGAATACGATTTACTATTTCTAAGTTAATATAAAGAAAAAGAATTACTTTATTTCAATACTAAGGTTATATTATTGTAATAAATCAATAAAGACTTATTACATAAAGGTATTAAACATGTTTGTATGTCAAGAATGCATTACATAAAATCGTCACTAAATAAAAAGCCCGAATAGACACTGATGTTAATTTTTATTGTTTAGATGGACTTGTGCATTGTTAAAGCAGTAACTTTTCGTGAATGCTATGCTACTAGTAATATCGGACGGATTTCTAGACGTGACATACTGAATTAATTATTAAGAATCTGTGAGTGACCTTGAACTGATTTTTATTAAATAATTTCTAATTCTAAACTTTAGGACTGAATACTTATTTTATACGAGTTTAATTTTGTTACACAATGCTTGTAAGTTTAAAATTCGCTTTTACAATAAATTTCATATGTATTTTGATATAAATGCAAAGTATATCGAGCCTTTTATTTGATGACGAGTACAAAGATTTGTAATCTACATGTTATACCTCAATTTCATAATCTATTTATCAAGCAAATTAATAAAAATTAACTGCCTGATATAATGTCAAAGGTATTAAAATTATTTCCAAATACAGAACCATCATACTTTCTTTTGATATTATTATTAAAGGAAAATGTAATACACATCACACCCAGACCCGGAATAACAATTTGTGGATCACACAAAGAGTTGCTCCGTTCGAGACGGGTATGGAACCCGTCACACGTTGCGCAGCAGCCAGTTGCCTAGTCACTGCACCAACCGTGCAGTCGACTGTGTTTCGATATATATATATAAATGTACAGATTGATATAAATTTTGAATACTGTATGTATGAAGGTAATTGTAATACATTGAATTCAATGAATAGTGAATACATTAAATTGTTATAAATAAGTTAGTTAAAAATGGGTGGGCTTTCACTACATGCAGTGAACAACCAAATGTAAGTGACCTTAACATTGTGAGAATTTCCCGGACGATAGTAACATAATATAATCATTAACATAGCTATGATCAGTTTGTTCACATTCTGCTCAATCTGGCCACGGCTAGGCTAGTCATTTGGGAAATATATCACATAATTATTTAAATACCACTATATAACTAAGCTTCAATAGGCAGCTTAAGGAATCACAATCCTATAATAATTGTCGATCACAAACTGGTCTGAGCGAAAATCTCTACTACACCTGTGACGACACACACCCTCCACATCAGCCTCAGTTCTCACTACTGTGACTGTGTCGCCAGATATTAACAAACATTACAGATACACTAGTTGCTTTTAAAACATTAACTTTTATGTATTTTATTTAAGATTCCAATTTATTTAATGTACATAACATGGATATATTAATTCTCGGAACATCAATGTATTAAAACTATGAGTTAACAGATAATTTAGACTACTGCTAGACAAACCCTTGTACGTATTTAAGTAATATACAAGTATTTCGAACTGATCTTTATAATAAATTATGAATGCAGTAAAGTGATTTCATTAAACTCTATTAAGTAAACTTGTTAAGTGTTTTGTGATATTAACACAGATTAGTTTTAGGATTTAAGATATAATTGCATACAAGTAGTAGTGCTCAAAATAATAACATGTTGATCAGAGAGCAAACTGCACCAGGATCGGACCGGCCGGGTGATCTTATACAGAATTTGCGTTGTTTTGATATTTTACTGACTTTCACAATGGTCGTTGTTACACAAGATTGTCATGAGCAGCCAGTTTGTCAGTCGCAGGTGGAGCGGGAGCGTCGCGCGACGGACGAATATAATCTAAGGGTTACAGCTAGGTATTAGACTATTTACGAGAATTGCTCGCATTCTCTGCGTTCTCCTTCATGATCTTGGATTTGAGGTGGTCCTTGTATTTGAGGATACCGCCTTGCCATTTCGTCACGGTCCCGTTCTCGCATATCCAGATTTCCTCTGCAACC